ATCGCATCGAATCGCATCAATGCCGGGGTACCCTTGCCTTCCCTTGCCCTTCCTTGACTACACTTCTGCCCTCCTTCTCCTTGTCGCTTGTCGCTGATATCGAAATCTGTTTTATCAGCGCTGCGTTATTGCTTTTGTTGTTCTGTTCCGGCGGCTGCCTGCACAGTGCACTGCGGTACCAGAGGGGTTAAGGGAGTGGTGTGGTCCCCTTTCTCCGCCCTGCACACTTCGCTCGTACATAAATTTATACGCGATTTTGTAATTCCCTTTTTGGTTATAAATTTCGCTACTGTTTCGGTTTCGGTTGAATGCGCGTTGCCCCGCACCCTTTCACAGCCGCCCCTCTTCACACACTCCTCCCCTGTCACACCGCGATGCGGTTGCAATCAGTTTATCAGTTTATTTGTGTACTGGTGTGGGAACGAAGAGAGGGAGAAAGAGAGGCATACACACACATGTGTGTGTGTGTTTATTTGTTATATGCAAATAGTGGAAGAGTTCCGGACGGTGACGGGGACGGGGTATGACCGGCACCTCTGAAATGTTTGGCCCCCTCTCCCATTCCATTGCCATTGTGTGCGGTAAAAATTACGGCACTCGCAAGTCAGAAATTCGGTTGCAGTCACCGATTCCATGATTCAATGTCAGAATATCAAATGGAAATATCATTGAAATAATTTCCAGAAACTGAACATGCAACCCTCGCAGTGCCATCACTGTATATATACATATATATACTCCAGATGTACATACATACACATGTGCATAGGTGTTCTGATATTCGCTCGCTATAAAGTTATTATCAAAGGAGGAGTCGCTTATCCGCCTGTAAGCTGAAAAATGCTCCACTAATGCGATAAACAATGCAATTTAAGCTGATTTCGGCTCTACCCCTAAAGCGGGGTCACCAGGCCTCGAGGCCAATTTGCAGCGACAATTTATTAAAATCCAGTCCCTGCCTGCCCCAAGTGTGTGCCGCACTCTTGCTGCCTGCCACACACTCAAACCCGCCTCGGAGCCAGCTCTAAGGCTCTAAGGCTCTAAGGCTCTAAGATATTGTGTTAATTTGCCGCAGTCATGAGCCTCGAGAGTCGCAAGAGTCGAGTCGCAGTAGTCTCGAGGGTCACGGGGCAGAGTTGACGGACGGACGGGTGGACGGACGGACCGAGCGACCTGTGCCACTTGAGGCGCGTTGCCGCGGAGTATGCAACAAATTTGTTGCCGTTTTAATTTTTCTGTCAGCTTGCGCTCGAGCGCCTCCTCGTGCAGCAGCGCCCCTTGCATCCTCCCCTCATGTTTTGCATGCAACATGCGAGAATTTCTAATTGTTGTTGGCCTCGAGAGGGGCAGCAGCAGCAGCAGCGACAGGCTGCAACATAACAAGAACGAGGAGCCATTCCGGTGGCGGGGCAAGTGCATAAATTAGAAATCGGCGACCTGCACGGGCGCTTCTGAAGTGGTTGCGCCTCCTCCTCCTCCTCTGCCACTCCTTGCCCCTCGCTCGCATGTGTTGTTGCGTTTTGCCACTCGACGGGGTTTGTGTACACACACAAATTACTGCTACAGCAACGCGGTGGGGTGGGGTGGGCAGCCAACCTAGTTGCATGTCCTGCACTGTGTGGCACTGTGGGGTTAACCGAAGGGTAAGCATTGTTAACAGGCCGAAAAACTTAATTGGCGTTTCTCTCTTTCTCTTTCACTCTCCCTTCTGTGTCCCCCTTCCGCTACCCCGATTCCTGATTTCGTTATTTTGTTTAATTAATAAACACATTTTGATTAGAGCGTGTCGTCACCCGCCCCCTTTCCGATAACCCACCCTTCCATCCATCCCTCCATCCAGAACGACTTCCACTCGACACGACTCGACATGACCTGACTTGTCCTGACTTACTAACCCGATTCCGCCGTTATTTTGTTTCATTTTATTTCCCATCATCATTAGTCTTTCTCCTTCGCTCCTTCACTCGCTAGCCAGCACCTTCCCCCTCTCCATTCCATTCTCTCTTCATATAAAAATCACAGTTATTTGTTTTGCTGTCAGATTAGCTTCTCCTTGTTGATGTGCTCTCTCTCTCTCTCTCTCTCTCTTTTTCTGTCCTCTTTTATTTATAAGATGCTGTCTGTTTATCTCTTTTCTGTTTCTGTTTTTTTTTCTGTTTTGTTTTTGCCTTTCCACTCACCTTCTTTGCTTGCTTGCCATGGGGGGTGCGTTGTGCGTGCGTGGGAGGAGGGTGCCCCGCAGGTGCCATCGGTCATTTGTCGACGGCGGCTTTGCGGCCGACTCCTTGATTGAGGCCTTGATTGGGCATAGAATTTCAACTCTCATCAATCACAATCACTTAACACTTGTTCTTTCACATTCTCTTCGTTTAAACCGATCGGCACGGAACTCTTTTTTATTCAACAAAAACTAAAACGAAACATTCGCACTTGTATTTGCTTTTTTGCGCCCTTTTTAATAGTGATGCTCAGCCGGCGGGATCAGTGCTGATACATTAAACAGATACATCGATACGACAGGGATCGATACATCGATACATTGATATTAGCACACGATCAAGATACATATAAATAAGGTGAAGTGCGTTGGTATGTAATCATATATATATATTAATATGCTTGTTTTTTGTATATATATTTTGTGGTAGCTAGGTCGGAGAAAGAGAGAGGTATATATGTACGTGTATGTGGAGAGGAGGAATGCCACACCTTATATTAAGACACCTTGCAGTTGGAATTTCGAATAAAGGAAAATAGGAATTGCGTTCGCTCGGAAGAATTTCTAATTAGCGGCGATTGTTTCGGTCCATAAATAATACTGTTTTGTTTGGAGCCCCCGCGCCTTGAGCTCTGCAACCGACTGGGACTACGAAATTCACGATCCTTTGCCAAATGTGCATCAGAACTATTGTAATTGAAATTCCTGCAACATTTTTGCCTTGTAATTTGATTTTAATGTGGGTCAAATTGTTGCCCCGCCCCGACCGGCGCGTACCTCCATCTGTGGATGTAAAAAAAAACACACAGAAAAACACGGACACACATGGAACCCGGAACCCGGAACTCGGGACCCAGAGCCGTAACATGTGCCGAAACTAGTGGCTAATGGCCCTAAAAGCCGCTTCCTCGTTGATTGCAGTACCCGGAATGGCACGAGGAATGGCGGAGTGGTGGAGCCGAGGAGCGCGGATAGTGGATAGTGGAACACTTTGTGCAATTTAGCTTTTGGCCAAAGTCATTAAGTTTGATGTTAAAGGCAGTTCCTACTGCTACTCTCCTGACTCTGCTCCCGCTCCTGCTCCTACTCCTGCTGCTCTTCTGCTGCTGCTCTTGCTCCAGGACTCTGATTCCGGCTCCGGTTGGTATGTCAACTGGCGCTGCTCCAGGCAGATTTACACTCAGTTGGCAGTCCGTCCGTCCATCCGTCCATCCGTCCATCCGTTTGTCCGTCAGTCAGTCAGCGGCGGAACGTGGGTGGGGGCTGGCTGCCGAAAGCGGATGCATTACAAAGGACATCAAGCTGGGGATATTGAGTTTTGTGTGCAACAAAGAAAAGCGCATACAAAGCCGAGCGCAAAATAAATGCTTCTTTGTTGGATTGCCGTTCGTTGGCCAAAGAGAAGGTGCAGTCAGAGGGGTGAGTATGGGGCGGAGGCAGCGAGAAAAAATTGAATTACATGCGAGAGCCAGCAGCAGTAGCAGTGGCAGCAGCAGCTTCTATGCCCCGTCTCGCATCTCCATCTCCGTATCCGTATCCGACTCTGAAGCCCCAGTCCGGGGCTCCACCGCAGGCGCAAAACTACTGTGATTGCGTGTCCTATGGATGAGTGGGATGGGGGTGGAGGTGGAGGTGGGATGGAGGCGTGGCCACGGGTATGATGAAGCAGCGGCATAAAAATAAGTACAAAAGCAACACAACGCGAAAGCAGGCAAAAGTAAAATGCGCTTTCTCTGCAGCTCCTGCGCTCTGCGTACTGGATCCTGGGTCCGTCCTCCTCCTGGATCCAAGTCGTTGCGCTGCTGCTTTTTTGTAGCTTCATAAAAAATTTCCCAAGCGGAAATGCAATTTAATTAAAAATGTCCTGCTGCTGGCGGAGGAGTCCCAACCAGCGCCATCCTTGGTACTGCAGCTGAAGGCGCAGAGTCTCTCTCTTTCACAGCGTTCTTTTGCCCGTTTGTGTTTGTCTACTGCCGCACCCCATGGCATCTCCTGCATCCTTGGACGCCGAGTTGTAGGCAAACATGATGAATCTGTTCCACAGATTTCCCGCTGGACACTGCCCCATCGCCACTTACCCTGCCTTACCCTGCCTTCCGCTCCACCATCATGGGATCCAAAAACAAAATCGTTTAAGATTAACAGCAGGCGATAAACAGGCAGCGGCCCCTGAAAATGCAGCAAAATTAAGGCCGAGCGCCTCAACGCACCTCCTTCCCCCTTCGCGGGGGGTTCTGAGATCCACAGTTAAGTGAATTACCATACTCAATTAACGTTATGCTTATTACGGGACCCACGGACCTAACTCTAATCCAATTCTCAGACTCTGAATGCAGTGCCAGCAATGGGAATGGGAACGGAATGGAGCTGTGTTTCCATGTTCCAGTGGTGGATGAAAGACGCCATTCACTCAGCCATCAGAAGAGCGGAAAAGGGAAGGGTAGGGGGAGGGAAAACGTTGCCCAAAGCATTTCCCATTTTCCGAATGCAAACCAAATTAGCCTGCCATTTCGGTGGGGACGATGGAGGGAACAATGGCATGAATGGGGCTTTATAATCAAGCCTCGTCTGTACCTTTGGGCCAGAATCTGAACTTCTGTTCAAAGTCGGTCAAAAAAGGGGGACTGGGCTGAAAGGAAAGGCCTTCAACGGGAAAAGAAGTCTCGTAATTGGGGAATAAATACGCACGAAATCAAGAAGCAAAAGATCTAAACGAATTCTCTCTATCGAATTTCAAAGCCTATCAGAAATAATATCCCTTTAAAATTGTCATATATTCCAGATAACCTGTTGACCCTTGGCCCTGGATCTGGATATGTGTTGCTGCCCCTTCCTGTACCACGTGTGGCTGTGTGTGTGGAGGTCGTGTAAATTTGCATGTTTACATGGAAGTTTTACACGCGAAATTGGCAACAAATTTGGAATCTTTTTTAGTCGGCCCAACAACAGCAGCAGCAGCATCAGCAGCAGCCACAAAGTGTCGAAAGATGTTGCCCCACTGCTGTGGCGACCACTGGTCTCTCAGGCCCATGCCACGTCCACGCCCACGGCAGCTGCTTGCGGTTTGAGCACTAAACGGCTGCTCCTCGAGAGAATATATCCACCCGCCAACCCACAACTGCGGCTGTATCCCTGTGTATCCCTTTATAGATGTGAGTGTGTGTGTCCGAAGTGTGGGAGTATCTGTGTGTCAATTTAATTATGCCATTACTTGCTGCCCCACCTCCAGGTGGCACCACTTGAAGTTTATTTGTTTGCAGAGTTTTCGTTGATTGTTAATCGAATTAGGACGAAATGGACACAGGACGCACGGCCCACGAACGGCGAAGGACGCGCTTGCTCCTGACTTTAATTAAATTTAGGCATTCAGCGTCCATCGGCTCAGCCTCCATTATATGCATCTGTGTATCTGTGCGGCATGTGTGTCCGCGTGGCGATAAAAACCGCATGGGCCGCGACGGCATATGCCGCTCATTATGCATCTGTGGATCGTGTAAATGAGCCAGCAGCCAGGAGGCGACTCCTGCTGCTTTCTGCCGCCCGTGATGCTCCTCTGTCTCCCTGTGAATCCTTGCTCTGTGCTGTGCCACCTCCCGCAGCCGCAAGCGCACTTTCGTTAATTACGCAACAACAACAACAACAGCAACAACATCATCGACAGCAAGGGAGGGATGCCTACAAATCCTCTCCTCCGTTCGTTTGCTCGGCGGATGCGTTGCATCACTTTATTGAACTTAATTGCATGCAATAAACCCATAGCGTGGAGCGTTCGTTCGAGGCGGCATCCTCCTGGATACCCGATGATGAGAGGAGCTAGCGATGGCAGCGATGGAAGCGTGACACGGCGGAAGGCAAGTACCTGCCATCCATTTTTCCATGGTTATATTTGAATTTGCGACTACTTTGAATTGTTTCAGGGACTCGATTCGGGAGAGGAAAGATGGAAGGACTTGTGCAACGATGGAAATGTAGCGATGCGACACGAAATGCAAACTGATCTCCTGCCATCTAAATGGAGCATTTGAAACCTATCCAAAGTGAAGTTTGCATTCCCCTCGTATCAGCTGGAAGCCTGACCAGATCTCTTCAGACTGCATTCTGTAATTATAACGATGGCAAATGTATCTCTAAAATTCAGGATTGCCTTCCAATGGTAAGTCCATTCCAGATGTGCACTTTAATGACACGATGACGTCACTATGTGGGGCACAGAGATGTGGAGATGTGGAGCTGCATATTCAATTACTCGGATGCTACTTTGGATGCATTTCATTTGCATTCAAAGGCCTTTTTACGTGACTTTCGTTGGGAGCAGCCCCTGCCCCTCTACGATTGTATCTGCATCTGCATCATGGGGCAAATTGAATTACCACCATTGCATCCATGCCACATCCATATACTCCTTTTGCATTGATAGATATATAAATGTATATAAGTATGTACATATATACATACATATATATATATATATATATATATCTGTGGAATCATTGGGAAAATGAAGTGGATGGAGGGGTGTGGGTGGTGGGTGGTGGATGGCAGTGGAGCTATCAGTCATCACAGAGAGATGATGATTGGTGGTGAGCGGCGGGGTGGGGTAGCTCATTTGTTGCGCTGCTTTGCGCCTTTTGTGTGTCGGCAATGCGACGTTTCCGTTTCCGGCCTTTGTCCGCTGCATTGTTCTCTCCGCCGGACACTGGACACTGGACACCGGCGGACCATTGATGCCACGGAGTGCGGCACGTGCTTCTGCATCTGCGTTTTTGTCGTTGCGGCGCATATTTCATTATCCCATTTATGCCATATTTATATTATCGCATTAAATGCACTTTGATTTGGGCTCCACGACGCCACGCAACGCCACGCCACGACGGGATGCATTATTCAAACTTTTGTGTAAAATTTAATCAACTTGGGAGTTGCATGCCCCCTGAACACATTCTCTCTCTCTCTCTCTCCGCCTTACCCTGCAGCTGATGCTAACTAAATTATGGATCTATTTTTGTTGCATTATTAAATGCAATTTTCAACTATAAATGCAATTTGCCATTTTCCACGTTTTTTGTACAATTTTTGCCGTTTCCGTTGCTTTTGTTTTTGTTTTAATTGCATTAAAAATGCGCTTTCATTGCGGCCAAAAATCAACAGCAACAGCAACAATAGCGGCACTAACGATAACGCACCGTGGAGAGAGAAAGAGGGAGAGAGAGCGAAAGCGAGAAATCAAATCAATTCGCACAATCGAAAATGTGTGGGTGCCGTACAGCAGGAGGTGGCCATAAATGGGACACACCCACCTGCTCCAGGATGTACTCGAGCCTCCTGTTCGAATGTTGTGACAGAATTAATTGCCAGTCGATATGCTTAAACAATCGAGTGGAAGACAGGACAGGACAGCACACCAAGGGATGCATGTGCCCGCTCCTCGCTCCACCCCTCCACCCAATCGAATGCATTGCCCATCAATTTATATGAAAATTGTGTCAGCGCACAGTTCAAAAGTCAGGCAGCCAAATATCAAAGGGAAATGGGGTTGGATGCGAAGCCTTTATGGATATCGCAAGCTTCAATGCAATTTCCGTAATATGCGACGCGACGCCAGGCCAACGGAGGAGGATGGGCGGATGGAAGGATGGGAGGATGGGATGTTGCAGATGCACATGGAGATGAGATTGAATGAGATGCAAGCGGCAGCGCATGAATTTAATTACCAAACGCAAGGAGCGAGGCAGTCGCTGTCTCTCTGCATCTGCCTCTCGCTCTCTGTGGCACTGTCTGGGCGTCGTGTTCGTGTTGTTGTCACTCTTGGCTGCAATGTTAATCAACTTCATTACCACAAATTGCTATTAGCATATGTTAGTGTGTGCCTCTTGCCTGCCTTCACCACTGCCACGTTGCCACGGAGTCAGAGTCAGAGTCAAGCTGGAGGAGAACCAGGAAGTGGCATTGCGCACAAATGCACTTGTCTGGGGCTGTCGAGGAGGCAGCAACAGCAGCAGCAAACAACATCAAATGATGCAATTATTACGACGGCAGAAAGGAGGAGGCGGTGGCGCCTCCGCCGCCTCATTGCCTTGAATTTGGCGCACATTTCGGACGGGACGCACAAAATCGAAATCGACCGCCACTAATATAATTAAAAAGCCATTAAGCGCACAAACAGACAACCTTGGGACAACAGGGAGGCAGCTGTCGCTATACCCTTCCCCGTGAATCAATCACTGAAGCTTCAAGTCAAGATTCGTTCTCCCCGGATAAGGGATCAATAGAACTGGGAAGAGTGTCTGCGAATGGCCTTGGCATCTGCCTTTTATTTTCTTTTTTTAATATAATTCGTAAGGATTCCAGCCATTGCCTCTGCCTCTGCCATCGCCATAAATTATAAGTCATTGGCTTACCCCTGGACCACGTCTGCGGCTGAGGATACGCTGGACCAAGGACTACGGACTAAGGATAAGGATGTGGAGGCGCATTAATATCCCCAACATGACTATGACTTTGAGTGAATGCTTCAAATTAAAAAGAAATTTACCATTTACCGCATCCGCATGTTGACTTGCGAAGAGAGATGCGGGGATTAAATCGAGGCAGTGACAGGCGCAGGCGGCAGCCAGCAGCCCAGTAGCTTGGGGAGGGGGTCGCGGCGTATACGTAATGTATCAAAAGTTGGAGCGCGTGTGTTAAAGGGAGGCGAGCAGCGTCCTGGGAGCCACAACAACAGAAGCAGCAGCAGCAGCAACAGAAACAGCAACAAGAAAATGATTACAGCCAACTAATGACGCTGTCTAAAATGATTTATCTCGTTATTGCGGACACTCGGTGGCAGGGGCAAGAGGCAGGCAGCAAAAGTCAGAGGCACGAACGTATAAAAAAAAGAGCCAGAACTTCTTGTTGGGGCAGTGGCCATAATTCAAACGTGTTTATGATGTATACAGACGATTTGGTGCGTATCCTAGTGCCTGTGCCTGTGCCTGTGCCTTGTCCTCCACCTCCCATACCTACCATTCGGAACCTGCGACAGAAATCCGCAAAAGAACATGCGACGAGTAGAGGTGGGAACAGAACAGGACTTTGGATGGAGTTCGGAGTTGGAGGCAAACTATGAATGAACTACTCAACGGTTTAATGCCAGTCCGAGCGTCGAGGAGCACTGTTTAATGCGATGCCCACACATGTAGCATGTTCCCTCCTGCCAGGGAGTACACTACCATGTTGTGGACTCTCCTCTCTCTCTCTCTCTGTCTCTGTCTCTCTCTTTCTCTGGCGAGGCAAAAGCGTATTAACATGCTGACCAAATAGCACACAAATGCTTGCCTGTATACAAATGCATGTACCCTCGATGGCCAAGGGGCATGCTCGGAATCGTATCGAGGGCTGGTGGAGCAATACACGAAAAGGCGAAGTGACAGCATTCGGAGGAAGGTAGAGGGTATCCCCCAGACGGTACTCCTCTGTTCAATCTTCTTCTGTTTTCCATATATGCATAGGGGTTTATGTATATGTATATGTACATATATTGTGCTATGGCATCGTGTGCATAGATGCCATTTGAATGTGGGATCCAGAGATGGAGACGAATCCTGAGACTGTTGGCTGCTGGCTGCTGCCACTGCCTCCTGGTAGTGGCAGTAGTAGCATCTGTTACTAATGGATAGTAGCAGAAAACAAATGGACAAGCGCACAGATTCACACACACACACCATCACACCCACACACACACACACACAATCGTATCCTTGGGATGGACGTCAACAGCTCGTGCAAACATCTTTGTAGATTTTATTTCTAAATCTCATTACCAAATGGTGTCCCTTCGGTGTGCGACAGGGGCCTGCGGAAGGGGGATGCGTGCTACGTGCGTGTGTGTGTGTGTGCTGCTGCTGCTGCTGCTGCTGGAGTATAAATGCAATAAACTGTAAGTGTGTTACTTCTACTTCTGCCCGGACTCTGGACTTAGGAGGAGCATTGTTCTTGGCTCTTGGACTTGGGGAGACTTTCCAGAACTAAATTTCGTTGAGAGAATATATATGGGTGTGCTGTGTGCGAGGGTGTAAGTATAAAAGACACACCCTCCTCCTGCTCGTGTCCCCTCATCAATTTCCACACTGATATCAGCTGTTGCAAATGTTTTTATAATCGCAACAAAAGCGAACCATATAAATTGTCTCCCAAAAAAGTTTCTGCAGTTGAAGAACTTTGCCTGAAAATGGAAAAACGGAATTATCTTAAAGAACTCTGGGAGTGCGAGCTCTTTTGGCTTTTCATTAAAGTTTCACTCTGGCACAGCCATCGTTTGCAATCAATTAAAATATTTGCACTCTGGTTGCACCATTGGATTTCATGTCCGGTTCTAAATGCTTGTCCAAGGACCAACCAGAAATAGTCTACAATAAAGAGAAACAGCGAGGAACCATAAGGAATATGCCTTCCTCAGAGAGTCGGCTGTGAAGATACCCTTTAAATATTGATTCTTTCTATGGCTCATTCGATCTTGATATATAAATACTATACAGTGGAAGTTCGGAAATTAGAACCACTTGGTTCCTGGGGTGTTTCTAATTTCTGGATCTATTTTTTGGACAGAAAATGATAAAACAACATTAAAAATAGTTGCGCAAGCTTTATTTTAAACCAGTTTATATTTATTAACACTAAAACACTAAAATTTATAAAAAAAACTTTTTAGTTTTTTTTTTATTTTAATTTCTTAATTTTTAACTAAGAGAAATTTCTATAGGCGTATGAAATTACACAGGCATATGACCGAATTGTATACAGCACGAAAATTTCGGTGATTCCCATTTTTATTTTTACTTCAACCAAAAAGGCAAAACTGTGTGGGCAAT